TAGTTTTGGGACCAATTTTTACTGTGCTAGTGGATTTATCGGTTGTCGTCTGTATTATTACAGCCTGGCATGTTTACACAACCACTTATGGGCAAAACAAAAATACGAAGGTTAACAACAAAAAAAAGAATTAAGTATGCAATAAATCACCGTTGAGGGTTTAAAGATATATTAGAATAGAAAGAGATTGGGTATGACCACGGGCATTCCGGAAAACAGCTACGATCTGTGTGCGATGTTGATACTAATGAAAGTACAAAATAGTGACTGGTTCTTTGCATAAAGTGATACAGTGACTGGATCTCTGCACAAGAGAGTATGAGTACAACTGAAACAGGATACGAGTGTGTTCGATGTTTTTATTATTTATTTTTTGTAGAGACCATATCAGTAGCGATCAAACCTGTCCTGGTTTATCAAACCGCATTTTAAAATTTTCTAAATATTCTAGAATTAATCACTGAGTAGAACATCATATTGCTCCTAGGAGTCTCTTATTGGTGTACAGAAATTTTATGCTTATCCATCCACTTTTAAACACTTTGCATACATGTATACAACAAAATAGATCATGTAAATGAGATTTGGTTGATCCGAAAAGTGTTCAACACAGTTTGATTTCCACATTTTATTTTCTGCTGTATTATGTGAGGAGAAGACCGCTTTTATGCGTTAAACACAAAGATAAACCTTTTAAAGAAATCAGCATCCAGAGTGAATTTAAAATTTCAAAGATATATTAAAATCTACATCATATTTTTTTCAACGCTCTTAGATGAGTGTTAGTTAAGGATAACACTATGCTTAGAAACACTGTTATTACTTTCTATGTCTTAAATAATTTAGCGACTCTAATCTCAATGTTTTTTCAAATTTGCATGAAACATGATCACCAGAAGTACATGAACGACTTTAAAAAATGATCTATATGTACCAAACGTGCGCCTTTACCATTTCATAGAATTGCTTACACTATGATATCGATCAAGCGTGCAGTGTTTCCGCTTAGAAGGGATAATTCGTGTGCGTATATTTGAATGAACAATTCTGATTTTGTGAATAAGTAATATTCGTACGTGGAAGCGAAGATAAGTCTGTATAATGGTGGTATATTAACCTTGTATAATTTGTATTGATTTCTTCTACATTTCTTTACTTTTATGTAGATGTTAAGCTTGTAATTTCATCACTAATTACTTAAATATTCATTTTACATTTGTTTTGATTACAGGACCATATTGTAAATTACTTATTAAATTATTATGTCACTGTATAAATAAAGGGATATTATTGTTGTGCTTATAATAATAATAATAATAATAATAATAATAATAATAATAATAATAATAATAATAATAATAATTTATGGAATAAATTATTATTATTATTATTATTATTATTATTATTATTATTATTATTATTATTATTATTATTATTATTATTGAAAAGAAGGAAACTGCAAGGGGAAAGAGGGGACAATGAGATTTTACCCATCTGTAATTATGTTCGTCAATACTATTTAAGATAAACGCTGACATAAATACTCCTATTACAAATGATGAAATCATGAGACGTTAACTAAAAAACAAAAACAAAACACTCGGACTCGTTTTTCTTAGTGCACGAAGGAAACGATCTTAACACTCCTCTATTCAACAATATCTTCGAATCCGGCTATTTTCCTAGACAGTGAGAGAATAGTAACATATTTCCTATATAATAATTCCAGAGGTATATCCTTTTATAATGTATTGTCAGACAACTCTCTCTCTCTCTCTCTCTCTCTCTCTCTCTCTCTCTCTCTCTCTCTCTCTCTCTCTCTCTCTCTCTCTCTCTCTCTCTCTCTCTCTCTCACACACACACACACACACTATTCAATATCTTTCTATAGAGAGTCATGGCTGACGCACTTGAAAGGGACAGTCAGCATCGGAGGCAGAGCAGTCACCAACTTACGTTTTGCCGAAGACATTGATGGACTAACAGGAAATGAGCAAGAACTAACTAGATTATTAGAGAGTCTCGACAAAACTCAGCAGCTTACTGCATGGAAATCAGTGCAGAAAAGACCAATCTGATGACCAACAACACCAAGGGCACCAGCACTGACATTAGTGTCCAGAAACAGTCCACAGATTCATGTATGTGGGGTCAATTGTAAAAGATGAAGGATCGAAGCCTGAAGTACTCTCCAGGATTGCGCAGACAACAGCAGTGCTGACGAAACTGAAGCCCATCTTGACTGACAAGAACATCGCACTCACTTCAAAGGTCAGACTGATGCGCTCACTGGTAATCTCCATATTTCTCTACACCTGTGAATCATGGACAACAACTGAATTTGAGAAAAGGATACAGTTGACAAAGATGAGATGCTTTCGAAAGATAATCGGCGTCGCATACAAAGACCGTGTCACCAATGAAGAAATACGGCATAGGATCAAAAAGCCATTGGGCCTCACGAATACCTCCTGAGCACAGCGAGAAAAAAAATAACGTAAACTGCAGTAGTATGGGCATGTCACACGATCATGAGGACTTTCCAAGACAATCCTGCAAGGCACTGCTGTACAAAGAATAAGAGAGGCAGGCAGAGAAAGGGGTGAGAAGACAACATTCGGGAGTGGACAGACTTGACACTGAGCGATTCACTGAGAAAGACAGAAAATCGAGACGAATGGAGGAAGCTGGTTGTTTGGTCTTGTGCGATGCCCCAAAGGTCTACCAGACTACGGGAATGATGATGATGATGATGATGATGATGATGATGATGATGATGATGATGATGATGATGATGATGATGATGATGATGATGATTCTTTATTGTTACTTTATTCAAGAACTATACTGCCTTATTGAATAATTGTATGTACACATGGACGGAAGACAATGGTCTGATAAAAAAAGCACAAACGGAGTTTATGAAAAAATATTTTGCATACAATAATATCTTTATTATTCGGGCTTTAGCTCAGAAATATATATATCAATCAAGAAAAGTCGATTTCATTGCCTTCTTGTTAACTTCAAAATATCTTTTGGTAAAGTACAGCATGACATATTATGTTCATCATTAACGGGTATAAATGGTAGCAAACATTTTTATAGACAAGTACAGAAGCCTCAAAAGATGTGCCAGAAAGCCTACTTATTAAGAAAGTAAAATAGGTACAAGGCAAGGTTGTGTTTTGAACCCTATCATGTTTTCCCTTTTTATAAATGATTTGTTTACACAGCTGAGTCTCGAATGCAACGGAATTGTATTTATCTCAGAAGATATTGATGATATTTTTGCAATACTTTAAGTTGATGATATTGCTAACTTGCTACTTCAAATAAATGTCATCGAAAAAAAAAACGTTTATGTGATAAAGCTGGTAAGATGGTCAATCACGATACAATTAAAATCATTGTTTTCAAAAATGGAGAATATCTCGAGCAAAATGAGTTATGGTGTTTCAAAGAAAGTGGTATTGAGTGTGTGCCTTATTACAAGTTCATGAGTCTATTTTTTTTTTACCTCAATGTTGGTTTGGATAAATGCTAAGCAGATACTAGCGGCTCGGGGAAAACAAAAAAGCAACTTGAAGGATTTTGAATTACCAAAAACGATTTGGTTGTTTTGGTATAGAGAACGTCAATTCTGTAACACAAACGATCGCTTGCTAAGGATCGGAAATTTAGGAATGTGAATTTAGTAGAGATATTGTAATTGTGCAATAAAACCTTTGCACACAGTAGGTGTTCCTAAAACTACCAATAATTCAGATTTGTTCGGGAAAGGATAAAGATACCATGTCTGTATCTTGCATATTTAAAGATGTATTAAATTCTGGTTGAAATTTGTAAGAATGCCTTCATCTCCCTACCCACGCCAATGTTACTTAATTTGGAAGAAAAAATATAGATGAAACTAATCGTATCACCTGGGCTACCAAAGTTTAAAGACATATTACTTGTTTCTTCGCTTCGGAATTGGTTAAATCAAGATCTTGGAGACGAAAAACAATTTTTAAATTATTTTTGCAAAGAATTCAGGATTCATCATTCCAAACCTGCTAATTGATATTAATACTTCACATATTTATGTGCATCATAGTATAAAACCGAAATGTAACTGAAAAAAAAAATACTTCCCATGTGGACTACCATGTTTTCTTTGGAAGTTACTTCCTAAATGTTGATGCTCAGCGCATAAATAAAGACAGGAAGCCATAGCGGGATTGAGAGAAATAATAGGACTTATGAATTATGCCGTAAAAAAATTGTGTTAGTTAAGTAGAAGAATTCCGTTTTGTTTGTATTTGTCCAGTTTATGACCATTCAAGAAAGAAATACTTTAATGAAGTTCATTCTGAAGTACGCTGCTTGAATCTTGATTTTTTGATCACGGTTACAGTCACAGAAATTGAATGTTCAGGATCTTGTTAAAGTTTTTTCATTGTCTTATATTTTCTAAACCTCTTGCTTTATTTACTTCATAGTTCGCATGAATCATTATGGCGCATGGTTGCTCCAACTTTTGACCCTGAGGTCAAGGTGATACATTTTGCAGCAATGTTCTAACGGTTGGCTTGACGTCTAGGCCCTGGTCTTCAAGTTGAGATCTTTGTTTGTAATATCTCCAGTGTCTGACTTACAAAGAATTAATTAAATTTGACTTCTTTTGTATACGTGTGTGCTCGCGTGCGCGTGCGAGAGAAATACAAATGCAAAAAAAAACCGCATATTCCATGCGCTCATAAACCCTTTGGGCGTGTGTGTGTGTGATTTAGATTTTTAATGTGGCTTTAACAATTTTCCAATCATATCGCTACGATGTCTGCAGTGCGACAGTTTAGTGATGTCTAGCACTGGGGCGTCATGCCGCAGACATGTAGCATGATGTCCCACCTAGTCACATTATCCTGACAAAAGGCCGACCAGTCCTAACACTACCATCTTAATGCTGAGCGCCAAGCGAGGAGATTGTTAGTACAATTTTTTAAAAGTTTTTGGCATGCTTCTACCGGGATTAGAACTCAGGACCTCCGGCATACGAGGCGGACGCTCTAACCACTAGGCCACCGGAGCGTTAAGAAGAAGATAGACATAGTATTTAAACGAAAAATAACAAACCGACTTTATTCATATTTTATTTAGTAAATAAAAAGTTTCAACATAATTTAAATATATAAAATTAGCACTATGCATGGATTTTTTCCCATAATATTAGTTGAACCTGCAACCAAATACATGCAACATGAAGAATTGCATTTCGTCCCGCCTACAGCTGTAAATGTGCAAGAAATATAGAGTTGATACGTATTAAGTGCAATTAAAAACTCTCTCTCTCTCTCTCTCTCTCTCTCTCTCTCTCTCTCTCTCTCTCTCTCTCTCTCTCTCTCTCTCTCTCTCTCTTTTACATTCTTACATTTAAACTCCTCTTTTGCCTACTAGATTCAGTACATATGTAATACATTACCAGCACATTTTCATTACCTTACTAGTACATTACATGTCATATTTAATATAAAAAATTTCAATTCCACAAAGTTTATAAATAAAGATATATCTATTATATTTTAAACAAAAATTGATAAATTCATGAACTGAATCCATTTAGACAATAACGTATTGAGATTTTCCGTGATTCATTGAATCTTTTAATAGAAGAAGACAATTAAGGATTAAAAGTATGCACACAAACATTTGTGTCCCCTGATAAATAAATGGTTACGTCATTCAAACTCTAGAATCCTTTTTCTTGATGACATTTTAACTTAGGAAGATATAAGATCAACCGTCATTGGCTGTGAAAGTCTACAACAACGCAAGATCAACCGCTAATTTTTGTCTTAGTCGATAACGACGGAAAACCAACAGTCATTGGATATATCAGGCGACAAGACGGAAGATCAACTATCAAATACTTTGCTCATGCAAGAAACTCCGGTATGTGCCACGTTATCATACAAGTCTTGTGCTGACTTTTCATCTCCGTGTTGCGTTTCCAGATGGCGCCTCATGTCCACCTTCCTCTGGAAGGACCGTCCACATTTCTGGCAACAGAACGGCTTGAAACCTGTATGCTTCCTGCAGTGGGTAATCAGGTTTGAAGACTGGCTAAAAGCCTTTCCACAGTGGGTGCATTTGTATGGCTTTTCACCTAAAATCAAATCAGTGTTGACAATTTTAATTTTTTTTTTAAATTTTAAAGATATATATATTTATTATAAAATCTAGCATAATATAATTTTCTACAAACCTGCAACTAAAAAATGTTACAGTTTGTGTAAATCTATAACATTGTAGGGGCCGCGAGTAGTTGTGTGGCTAAAGATCTCACCGTTGCGGATCACTGCCATCTCACCTATGTTTGCATGGGTTCGAGTTTTAGGCTCGGCTAACGTCAGTAAGTGAGAAAGCATGCCAGTAGCTCATAGTGGGTCGGTGGTTCTTCCCAGGGTTTTCCAGTGTTCTTCCTCCACCAATTATGCTTGCAGCATGTATAGACTACCATGGGCTGAAAAAATGGCGTTAAATCGTACAACAACAACATGACATTATAAAAAAAATTGTATATTAAGAAAATACATTTTGTGTGTCCAAAACACCGCAAGTATTGCAAAAGACATAGTGAGTTTTGAAGTGTGAAGTATATATATCCCGAAATGTGGTTTTTCTAAATAACTGCTCAGAGCCTTCGAGTTTCACAATTTTACAAGTTATTTGAGTGATTGTATGTTTTGAGCAATGCATTCCCTTTAAATCTAAAACTTCGTGTCTTTGGGAATTTATAAAAATATGCATATCAAATGATGCAACGGTAATGTTTGCTTGATTGAAGTTGATTGACTCAGTTCAACACATACCACTACACATGGAATTAAATGCTTGCCATAGACTGGATCTCTACATTCAATTAAAACAGTAAACACTACAACCTGCTTAATTTTTACTACTCAAAGTTCTTGATTTATCTGTACAATATGTTCTACATGAAGATTTACACATGGTTTTGAATACAAAATAAAGAGATATGATGATGCTTATTGCATTGATATATATATATATATATATATATATATATATATATATATATATATATATATATATATATATATATATGTATATGTGCATATATATATATATATATATATATATATATATATATATATATATATATATATGTGTGTGTGTGTGTGTGTGTGTGTTTGTGTGTGTATCTATCTATCTATCTATCTATCTATCTATCTATCTATATATATATATATATATATATATATATATATATATATATATATATATATATATATATATATATATATATATATATATTGAAATTAATCAGCAAATGAGCCAACAATATTCTAATAGAGCCAAAACAATTTACAAGTTCACTCCAATTCTGGAATAATCAAACGCTGAAACATGCGACATGTTTATTGTTCATGTATATATCGAATTCAAAATACATTGATTAAGTCAGCAATCGGAAAGAAAACATTTTTTGTTTCAATTTTGAAGGTCACTGGTTTAAAATTAAACATCATTTGTTCATCTTCTTTTTTTACCTCTAAAAGGCTTATTTTTATTATTGTCCAATAAAGTTTTTTCTAACTACAAAGACTGCGATTTGACACACTCTCTTAAAACTGTTTCTGCAAACTATTTATTCATATTAAAACTGAGACTAAACAGGAATGAAATCTTTTGAATTTGATTTAATTCCCTTGGCGAATCTTGCTTGAAACCGGCAAACACGATCTTTCCCTTCGTTCACTAAATGTCATTGAAGTAACCTAATTTAGACCTTGCCCTGACAAAAGAGGTTGATCGTGACGGATAAACATGGCAATTAAAGAAAGGATAGAGGAAATTTGGAGCAAAATGTTCCAGATTTCCAAGCTTGGTTCGTATCACTTCTCATCGATTACTGAAATCTCTGTTCTTATGTTGATGGTGACAACAAAATGGATACAAATGGATTCCCTTATGATCTCATTTGAGAAACATCTTCGTGAAACCGATCCGAAGTAAATCAAATATTTCAAGTGCTCTCAGTTTATACAAGAAATGATTTGCTTTTCCGAAAGATCAGTCTTTACATGAAATTCAATTAACAGAATGATGTCTACGAGAGTAATTACAACAGCGCGATAAGCCTCAAAAGTCTAATAAAATGACCGGCCCCACAGTCCGAGGGGAGATGTCAGATAATTACAAGATTACGGGGAATTATTGTGTTAAGAATTTAAACACCGCCAAGTTTGGGTTTTATCATCCCTTCGCTTATATTTCATTAGAATCTCGAATCAAACATGCCTGTTTTATGCAGATTTTAACATTGCCATTCAAGGCATACACCAGTATACGACAGACTGGCAGAAAAAGTGAGAAACCAATTTATCCATCTCTCAATCATTTTGATTGAATTTGCGCAAATCTGAGAATCTGCGTGATTGAAGAAAATTTGGCCTATCATTTGAATTATGGAAATATGGAAAAGACTATAAACTGTCAAGACTATAATACCTAATTACAAAACATTTTAGAGTCTCGGGATTCGGAAAGTTATTGAGAAATTTATTTATAGAATTGTAAGATTGCTTTTGTTTCCTGTATCGCGAAAGCTTCATGTCATCTTTTTATCATAATAAAATATTGCTCATGTTTTGACAATTTATTTCTAATGAAGAAACTCATCGTTTCATTCATTCCATACGGTTTGATGCTCTTTATCTTTATTCACCTCGTGTCCATATGAATAGAAAATTTTCTTAAAGTTCGAAAATTCCATAACGATTTATCACTTTATTTTATACCCACATATGTATAATGAATACGTCATATGGAATAGTCAGATTTTCTTAAAATGCGAAATTTCCATAACGATTTATCATTTTATTTAATACCCCAAAAATGTATAATGAATACGTCATATGGAATAGTCAAATTTTCTTAAAATGCAAAATATCCATAGCGATTTATCATTTTATTTTATATCCAAAAATATATGATGAATATCTCATATGGAAAATCAATTTCGACTTTCATAAACAAAAGAAGAGATGAAAACAGTAATCTTATCGGGATAAAAAAAAACAATACCTAAATATTATTGCTTTATTAAGCTGTGTGTGTTTTAAGTAGCGGCACGAGAAGTTTGCAACTAATTTTGAATTTTTATATGAATGGATTAATTGATATATCGATTGCCTATTTTCTTCAAGTGCAAAATTTCCATAACGATTTATCATTTTATTTTATATTCAAAGATATATAATGAATATCTCATATGGAAAATAAATTTAGACTTTCATCAACAAGAGAAGGGACAGTGACCTTATCGGGATGACAAAATCACCTAAACATGTATCGCTTTATTAAGTCGTGTTTTAAGTAGCGGTACAAGAGGTTTACAACTAATTTTGATTTTTTTAGATGGATTAATTGATATATTTAACTGAATGTAGAATCAATCAAAAAAAAAGATCAGGGATAATGGGGAAAGAAAGAAAAACAACCATCTTTTCCATGTTAAATTTTCAGATATAAGGTAACTAACATTTTCAGAAATGAAACTTTACATTACATGTGCTTTCCTTTTGAAGTATGCATGCCTTTGTTGTCTTAATGCATTTTTAGAGAAAAATTCTAAAGAAATAGATTCATGGACTAATAATTTATGTTTGTGCTTCATCTACACATGCGTGGTGATATGTAACTGTCATGTTTCTAGTGGCATCTTCGGCAGAGTCAATAATGTTTAAGTTTTGCACTTAAGTTTTTAAAAATCAAATTAACTTTACATCATTTCAAGCATTGGGCTATTACTGTGGATCTAAAGTTTGTACGCTGATATTCTGGTATTTGTGTCTTGCCTGCTTCAGCATGAAGTTGGTTGATCATTGTGAAGGCTGTTGAAAAGGTCTGCAGTTTTGTATCAAAAGCGTTTTTTTTTTTTTTTGAAAATCACATATCTTTGGCATTTGATGCTGTATTCAAATAAAAGTTTCTTAAGCTATTATAACGTGTCTCAAGTTTTATGCGGATATGCGTTGAGTTCCTGTCTCAAGTTTTATGAGGAT